ATGTGATGATATGTTTGCATGCTGGCTTGTTATGTTATATGTGATCGTAGTAGTAGGGGGTGAAATAGTCCCCGAGGATCGGTTGTTAGGACCGATGGGTAGTCAGCACCCCAAATGGCTTGACATGGGTAGTCAGCACCCCAGAATGGCTTGACACGGGTAAGACGGCACCCCAGAATGGCCGTATGGGTAGGTCGGCACCCCAGAATGGCCGTACCGGGTAGTCAGGCACCCCAGAATAGCCTGGCAGTACGTATGTTATGTGTTTGTATGGTATGCGGTACGTTGGGGGAACTCACTAAGCTTTGTGCTTACGTTTACAGTTTTGTTTTCAGGTACCTCTGCATCGAAGGGGAAGGAGCCGGCGCGGTAACGACACGTCATACACACACTCTTCGGTTTCCGCATTTATGAGATTTACTGGGATTGTACTCTGATATTTTGATGGGATGTATGGTTTGACTTTTTAGAACATGGTTGCGATGTGTTATGGTGTGAACAAACAATGTTTTTATTTATTAACGTTTTCTAAAGTAATACCTTAAAAATGAAATTTTCGGACGTAAAAATTGGGTCGTTACAATAAGTCAACCACGTACCCTTCTAATCCATTCCTGGCTTCAAAAATAAATGGTCCACTTGGATTCACATTCCAATTCCTACAATGACATTACTAAATGAAATCAGAACAATGAAATTAGAATAATGATGATAAGGAACAATAAAAATGCTAAGACAAACCTCAAATCCTCTCCAAACTTGTTCATTTTCTTGATAGCAGCTGGACAAACCACTGATTCCCACTTTTCTGCCTTTTGTAACATATGGTAGAACCTATCCATCATGTACAACCTAATTTCTTCAAACATTGCTAGAAGGGGTTTCTTTCTAGCATCCAATATGATGGTGTTGAAGCACTCTGCAATGCCATTTTCAACTGCCTCACATGCTACATCAGTCCTAAAAAATGCCCTGCACCATGTCTGAGGATGTATTGCAAGCAAATGTTCATAAGCATTGGGATTAACCTCTTTTATATCATCCATTTTCCTCAGAAATTTACTCTCTACAATTGAAAAGGAAGCTGCCCAGAACATATTCTTGAACTCCACTCCAGAATAGGTCTTCCTAAAGTTAGCATATATGTGTCTTGCACACTGTCTATGCTCCACATTTGGTAGTACTTCCTTGGTTGCTTCAAGAAATCCCTACAATGTAATGAATACATAAACATATAAGATGATGGTAAGGAAAAATCATAAATATGCTAAGAAATTACAAACCTTATGTTGATCAAAAATTACAATAAACCCTCCTCCATCTAGCAGATTAAGATCCTCTGTGAGCAGTTCCAGAAACCATTTCCAATTAGCTTTGTTTTCATTGTCAACAACTGCCCAAGCAATTGGATAAACTTGGTTGTTTGCATCCATCCCTATTGTTGTGAGTAATTCTCCTTTACATGTCCCTTTCAAGAAAGATCCATCTAGACCAATTACCCTACGACACTCTATTTTCCAACCTTCCTTGATTGCTTTAAAACACAAATACATCCTGTGAAAGTATGTTGTTTGATCTGGATTTACAGTGACACCCACTTGGACAGTGCTACCAAGATTTGACCTTAGTAACTCATGACAATAGTCCCACACCCTAGCATAATGTTCTGTGAGTTTACCATCTATAATGGTCATTGCTCTACACCTTGTTCTGTAAGCCTTAGACCAAGACACACCACAATGAAATTTGGTCCTAATTATTGATTGCATCTCCTTACACTTCAAGTTAGGTTTCATTATCAACTCCTTCAAAAAGTGTCTTGCTAGCCATTTGGGACTCAGTAACTTTGAAGTATTGAAATTTCTAACACATTTGTGCTCATCGACTAAGGTTTTAATCTGAAAAGACTTTTCTTGAGTCATCCAGGAAGCATGAACTCTGAATGGACAGGGTTGAGACTTCATCTTAGAACCACATTTGGCAGTTAATCTCACAGTGTCACACTTCGCAAATTTAATGTTATACCCTGACTTAATAGCATAATTAGTGAGACATTGTTGCAACTGATGTGGTGATTAATACCTTTCACCAAGAAGGGGCTTCATCTTATTCCACTTAACTAATGGGTTATGAATGGGGAAGCCTGCACCAACTACATCTCCCAAATCAAGACCATTAGCCCCTGCTGTATCATCGATCTCCTCTTCTGAACCAAACCCTTCTTCATCTTCATCAACTAAATCATTGTCTTCATCGGCTTCATTATCTTCATAATCGGAACTAGAGTTAAGGAAAGCATCCTTGCATCTCTCTTTACCCTATGTCTTGAAATCATCTTCTTCCATTTCCACATCTATGTGCTCAGTATCGAGCACCTCCTCATCATCTTCGTATTCTTCAGAGTCGTATTCTTCAGATGACTCATGGTGAACTTCCTCTGATTCGACAGCCATTGGGTTTTACCTTCGTTTCTCTCAGTAAAACCCTACTTCCTTCGTGTTTCACTCTGTGAAACCCTAACTTTTTCTCTCAATTGATTTACCAGACGTCGAATGCAGTGGAAATGGAAAGGTAAAACTCTCTTGTACACGTAAGGTGCCACATGCACATAGTACCGGTGGGATACCGGCTAACCCATTAAATATCCCATTTTGATTACGTTTACCGGTATTTAGGACTAAATTACAATAATATATATATATATATATATATATATATATATATATATATATATATATATATATATATATATATATATATATATATATATGGGCTAAATCGATTATAAGGCTATGGGACGTTGAGCTCACTTTTTCATACCCTACATTTTTTTTTTTGGGAAAACTGCAATAAAGTCCCTAGCCCATATAATCAATTTAGCCCATATATATATATATATATATATATATATATATATATATATATATATATATATATATATATATATATATATATATATATATATATATATCTTTACTATCTTATAAAAGAAATCTAACTATTTCTAAAAATAGATTGATTATAATAATAATATTTTTTTAAGTCGTCCAAATAATGAAGTTGATAGTACAAGTAAACATTAATAAAATAATATTAAATCTTAACCACATTTTGAATTCAAATATTTATCATCAAATCTCCTTATATTTCTCAGCAATTTGATATTGTTCCCTCAAATCCCGGATTCATTCAAATTTTGAACCCTTTTAGATATCCTTAAATTTAGCATGTTGATTCAAATATCACTCCAATCGCATATACCTCTTTGTTCCCTCATCTGCTATAAAGCCCACCGTCTAGGAACAAAAAATGACTTCATCTCCCAAATAACACCATAGTTTGATTATTTTGTTTTCGACATGTACTTTCTTTTGTAACATAACATTTTTGTAGAGGAAACATATCACCGAAAGAATTTACAAACTCCGCCGCTTTGCGCGGGTACGCTGTTAGTATATATATATATATATGGGCTAAATCGATTATATGGGCCATACATAGGGACTTTATTGCAGTTTTCCAAAAAAAAATGCAGGGTATGAAAAAGTGAGCTCAACGTCCCATAGCCTTATAAAAAATCGAAACTACTGAACAAAAAATTATTTCAAATAACTTATGCACAGAGTAGGCATTATATACCATATAACAAAAACTCACAAAAAAAAAGTTTTTGGACTACTTCCTACGTATGCTGTTTCAAACTTGTTATTCATATGAGGATTTTGGAGGCGAAGGAGGGAGCAAACCAATCAATCTAAAAAGAGTTTTAGAAAATTTAAGATTTTTGAACTCAATGGTTATTTTATTTTTTTAATATTTGGTTATTTCAGTAATATGTAATTGTCACTTATAACTAGACTCTTGATATGTTGGAGCTCAAGATCCTATGATTGGTCGTAACCGGTCATGATTATTTTAACCAAGTTTTTTTAAGGGTGCCTGCGACCAAACTCCGTAATATTTGTACACCTGTGATCCTATTCTCGATTTCAACCAAGTAAAAAACATATAAGTTTTATTTATTTATTTTCACCAAAACTTTGTTTAACTTTAAACCAAAATACAGTTGGATCCGGTTGTGTAATCCTACCACATCAAGCTATATTTAATCATTGATCTTCTTAAGCTTTTTCCATGTCTTTTGCATTCATATCTATACACCTCATAGGAAGTCACTTATCATTGCAAATCTTAATTGTTTTATTTTACTAAAATTTTGGTAATCCTTGGTTATCATGTTATGGGGAGTAGGGTGCGCCAAGCCCCTCGCCAGACACGCCAAGCTCACCAAACACCACCCCCGGCGTCCGCCAAGGGGTCGCTAAGCCAAAGACGTCGGTTCACCAACTAGAGGAGAGAGGAGAGTCATGGTGATGGGGGTGCACCATGTTCAAACCAAATTCCAACCATTTTTATAAAATTTATAAAAAATTTTGTTAAAAAAAGTAGCCGTTTGTTTTTTATAAAATTAAAAAATTTAAACTTTCTTCCAACCACTATAAATACACACTTAAACCTCAGCATTTCACCACACAATCATTTATTAAGTTATCACATACCTTTAAGTTCTCAAAATAACTTAATCATGTGTATGTACATATGCATGGATGTATTTATGCACAAGTATATAAAAAATTAAAAAATCGGCTTGCACAAAAATATAATTTATTTTTGAAATCGTAAGAATTATTCATAAAACTGAAGGTAAGTTTTGTAAAAAAAAATGTCGATCTTATTAAACTAAAGTATGTTTGATAAAATTGAACAATTTAGTACTAAATGATTCAACATCTTAAAGGTTCCAATCTCTTAATGGTTCGTTCCCTAACCGCTATCAAACGCGCCAAATGCCAACCTATTCCTGAATGGTTCCACTTATAGGTTATAAACAGCCCACGACTTCTTACAAATATATGTGATCGAGCTACAACATGAATCATATTCGCTCTTTTCCAGAAAGGGCAAAATGACGAAGTTAGCACTAATATCTATACAATCCACATGAAGTTACTAATCATTACAAATAATGATGATTATTTCTCTAAAATTTGTACAAACATATATCTACCTTGGACTAAAAGAAGTATGTGTAACAGTCGGAAGTGAAGCAGGATTATTTAATCTATGCCTAAAAGCAGGGATTTGACCAAACTCATTTGATTCTGTGTCGGTTTAGTGAAGGTAAGGGTACAATATTTTTAGATAACATTTGTAGAGTCATAGACATGGTTGGTCTAAGTGATGGAACTTCTTGTGTGCAAAGAAGCCCTATTTGTATCACACTTCGTATCTCCTTCTTCATGCTGCTACTGGTGTCATCCTTCAAAAGTAAGTTTGGATCAAAAAGCTCATCCACTGTGCCTTGCTGAAAATGCCTCCATGTCTATTACATCACCAATGAAAGAATGATCAGCTACTCAAACCTTTTATATGAATTTATTGACATACATACAAAAAGGTGTGTCTTGATGTTTATAATTAAATAAAAGACTTGGTTACTTACAATTGTAAGCAAGCTGTGAGTGTCATCTGATGTTTGTGTTCCTCTGTTTGGGATTCCAGTAATCACCTCAAGCAAAAGCACACCAACGCTATATACATCCACCTTTTCTGTTAACTTACCATTGAGTACATACTCTGGAGCCATATATCCACTGGAAACAATAAAAGAGAATGCGTGAGAAATACATTAATTCAATTTCACAAGGAAATATTTTGGGTGTGATGTGTGATGTATGTTGGAGAGCTTGAATGCATAGATCATTTTTTTCAGGTTAAAATACTTGAAGGAAGTGCTTACAGTGTTCCTGCAATCCCAGTGCTGATACGATTTTTATCTTCTTGAAAGGACCTGGCTAATCCAAAATCAGCAATCTTAGCACGAAGTCTTGAATCCAACAAGATATTAGCAACTTTTATATCCCTGTGAATGATCCTGGTTTTACTGTTTTCATGAAGGTAGGCCAAACCCTCTGCTATTCCCACTATAATATCAAATCTTTTCGCCCAGTTTAGTTCCTTACCTCTAACTGCATCTGTACAACAAGTCCATAAAGAATTAAATCCCATTCTCATCAACTCATCATGATCAAGAGGCAGAATGCCAGCAATTTAAGCATTTGAAGAATTACCGAAGATGAAATAATTGAGACTCTTGTTGGGTAGATATTCATAAATGAGAATACTTTCAGGCCCCAAACAGCTGAATCCTACCAGTTTCACCAGATTTTTGTGGTCAACACTACTAATGATGTTGACTTCATGATAGAAGTCCCCTGTTCTATGTCGCTGGTTGAAGAAAAGTCTCTTGGCAGCAATCTCTCTTCCATCTGGAAGAACTCCCTATCACAAATTGCATTGTGTAATTAATGTCATTTGGTATCTCTAAAACAAAACAGCATAAACCAAGAATCCAAATCATACATAAGAAAAACATTCATACGTTCTTTTATCAAATATATACCTTGTATACCGTTCCAAATCCGCCTTGACCAAGCTTATTCACCTCATCGAAAGAACCCGTGGCTTTCTCAATGATGGAATATTTGAAGTTCAAGTTGCTATTGTTCACCATCATCAACAATTGAGTGTCATCAGAACCTAAAATCAATGTTAAGGAAATCAAAACATTCCACAACTTGTATCAACATCGTTTTTTGCTTTCATAGAGAACCTAATAATAGTCAAAGAATGAGAGACAACTCATACCTCGTCTTTTTTTTTTTTGATTTATTTCTACGCTTCCTTGCATAAAAAGCAATAATAGTCACAACTAAGAATGCTACAGCAGAAGTAACAGCCATTACAATAGCTATTATTTTCCATGCAATACCATAAACAGGGACCAATTTATTATCTTCACAGCACTTATATTAATACAATAAAGAGAAAGGACCGATTCTTGATATTTTAACTTGAAAACATCTTTTACCATATATAGTAATACAACTATAAGATGTTTGATCGTCAATATGCAATGATCCACATCAAACCTCAAACTTAAAAGGTAAAATAGTTTCATAATTGGCATCAACGAATCGGACAACACTATTTAAAAATAAAAATAAAATAAAGAGAGTGCATGAAAGAGTAGAGCAATCGACTTACCTGTAGATAGTGTGTTGTGATGATCAGGATATAAGAAATTGGAGTCAGAATACTTGATGAAGCAACCAACATACAATGCATACCCCTCTGACACAGGCAAGCAGCCTAACATGGAGGTAGCTGCTTTTTGCAAACACTACGCACAAGAATCTGTATCTAATGTACGCCAGCAATCAGCCATTGCATACACTGATTTATTTTCTGTCCCAGAAATAAGAGCCTGTTTTCCAGCATTGTACTCTTTACTTTTAGGTGCATTTTTCACTGTTTGAAACACAGCCTTTGAGGCTGATTGTTCAAAGGCATTGTTTCTCATTGTTTTATTCACACATATAACTCTGTCTTCTTGACCTGTATGCTCCTCAAAGAAGCTATAATTCTCATATCTCATGAAGCAACCAGTGAGATAAACCCGACCACCATTGCTGGGTAAGCAACCTGGAAGAGAACTACTTGCTACATCATAGCATAAGTTGCATTCACCGGTAGAAAGATCACCATAAAACTGAGCAAGTCCATAGGTCCTATCAGGTGCTGTGCTTGTAACTACTGTTCCAAATTGTGAAGTTCGCATTTTGGTGCTGATGTCGGCCGTTGCCTGGATGAAGTTCTGAGTGAATTTGGTTTCGTTGTTCAGTACCTGATTTTGACAATTCCTTTGGACCACTTGGCTTTTGGCATTTCCGGCTGATGCATTTACAATTAAAAATCTAGGGTGAGATGGATGAATGTATATACAATCTCCCTTGAGGAAAAAAAATTCGTGGGCTAGTTCCCATATCAGTTTTGCCTTCAGATTTCGTCATGGGCCAGTTTGTAAGAGTTTTTCGGGCTTGGCCTTATTGGTAGTTTTAGGTCAATTTTCTTGTCTTTATTATATCCCATGAAATCGTGTAACCTAATATATCTGAAATCCATTCAGCAATATTAATACTATCACGCTCGAACGTGTTCGCCTCCTGCAGACGTAGCCAATCACTGTGATCTTGTGAACCATGTAAATTAATTGTATATTATTTTCGTTTTGCATTTATTATTCTCTATGAAACCGTTTATCGTTTGTTGAAGTGATTAAACCCTAACACTCAACTATCGACAAAATATGTTTTGAACTTTCTATTTTTCTAAGTTGTTGCGATGTTTTTCGTTTTAATCGGTCATTTGGCTGTCTCCTAAAAAAGATACTTTGTTGTTTTGGAGGGTGAACTACTGGATTTAAGCATTCAGTATTCACCCATAATCTCGAGAGCTTTCATTAAGCAATATAAAATAACATGCTACATATAAACAAACTAAACAGACTGAGCCTAACCGGAGCCTATATAATAATATAAAGTCTAATATCTCTAGTCTAATATCCCTACCACTTTGATTGGGAGACTTATACTAAAATCTGAAGCTAGATCTAAACTCAAAGAAAAACGAGTGTGGTAGGCCCTTTGTGAAGATGTTTGCATATTGGAGGCTAGAGGGCATGTGAAGAACCTAAAACTTGACTTGTAGCTACCTTGGCACACACGAAGTGAACGTCTATCTCAATGTGTCCGGTCATTTTGATGTTGATTGGATTGGTAGGAAGGTAGACAACATTTACATTATAACAGTTTGCGATGGTAGCTTTAACAAGTGGTGATTGGAGCTCCCAAGAAGATTGTTAGTCACAGGGTTGATACAACATTAGCCACCCCACAATTTTTTGCTTCAACACTTGAGCATCAAATGATTACTTGACATTTGCATGACCATCAGAGTAAATCATCACCAAAGAAAACAAAGTGACCGGATTAGCGGGACTTCCATTCTCATAAGCATTAGCGTATGCTAAGTCTTGCAGGTGGTATATAATTGTAATCCATGATAAGAGTGCCTACAAGGAGTTGAGGTATGATTCTATTGGCTCGTGGATAAACATGAATATATTTTGGATGACATATGCTAAGTCTTCTAGGTGAGTATTAGATGTTGAAGTTCCCCAAAAAGGCTACCATACAACATGGGTCATTGACCAGGTGTAACACCCGGAATCCAGAAGACTAATTAAGGAAAGAAAAACTTCGGTATGACTGGTCCGCCACGTGGGCCTACAGTCTCCTCGGACCGCTCATAGGGTATGTTGGCCTTCAGCACAAAGCAGGACCGCCTCAACCCGACCAACAAGCAAACAACCATGTGCGCATAACTATCATATACTGGCATATACAAACATCAAACATATCTATCTCACTGATCATCAATCATAGAATTCTCTCGTAACTAGAGTACCAACCTAGCAGGTCACTAACATACCAATCCCTACGGATCATAAGAGCATAGCATACTGTCTACCCTGATTCTGATCTAACAGATCATAACCACGTATAGCATACCATAACAATAACAACTAAAGTGTCGGCCTTGGTGCCGTAGACCCTATCGATATAGTGAGGATAACTCACCTTGCATATGTCGACTTGGAAGGTAAACTCTAACTCTCAGATCACTTGACATAGGCTCCACCACCTATTATCATAGTACAATATACTCGTAAGTCCTTAACCTTATAAGGTACTCCATAACCCACTAGTCAACCCCTGATCAAAGTTAAAAGTCCTCAGTCAAGGTCAACAGTCCATGTTGGCCTCGACTCGCCAAGTACCCTCGGCTACTCGCCGAGTTCCTTGAAGCGTATTTCAACTCGCCGAGTCATCGGGGTGACTCGCCGAGTTCCTTTGATTCTTGATCAAACTTTAAGGCCACCCGCTGAGTTTCCTCCTTGCAACTCGACGGATACACATGCATACATGTCCTGAAGAAAACTCATCCGACTCACCGAGTTGTTCTTCAACTCGTCGAGTCTATGGCAATCATCATCGGACGTCGAGTTGTTCATCCAACTCGTCGAGTTCACGGCCATCTTCATGTGACTCGCCGAGTCCATTCAGTCCTTTTTCCATACAAACTTGTTTTGAGCCATGCAGCGGCTCCAACTCATAGATCCAAGCTTCTCGGGCATGCTTATCATGTAAAGTTGCAAACTATACGTGCATGCATGGCTATAAAGGCTCTAAATGCCTAATTTAAGTTCTTAATGGAGCTTCATGCTCAAGAGGGATCTCAATCATGACCAAAACTATAACTTTATGCTTCTAGAATCCAAGGAGGGTCCAGATCTGAAGTTACAACCTCAGATCTAGCCCATAGCTCATCTTACCAACTTAATATTCCACAAAAACCCTAAACTCAACCAATAGAAGAGATCTATAAGAAAAATGGCAATTTGGGTACCTCTAGAAGATGATAACTGAGATAAGTGTTGATTTCCACACTCTACTTGCTCCAATCTCCTTCTCCTCCAAGCCTTCTCCCTCCAAAGATCCTCTTTTCAAGCTTCAAACACACAATGGGCACACACACACATATTAGGGTTCTCAAGGACTCTCTAGAACTGTAAAGAGGCCCAAGGGAGGCTAAGGTTCCTTTAAATAGGGTGCAAAACCCTGGGATTTAGGGTTTCATCTGCCAGATCCTACTCGTCGAGTAGGTCACTTAACTCGCGATCCCACCCCGCTACTACTCGACGAGTAGGGCAACCAACTCGTCGAGTAAGGCCTAACTGTAACGATCGTCTTCCGAGGTATAAATTTATTTAAATTCTCAAGTCTTATTTTGGGCTATAATAGAATTGTATATTCTGGATTGGGCCTCCTTGATTTTGGGCCGATACATAGGCTGCCCATAAGCCGTACGCGGGGCGTAACCCTTTGTACGCGGGGCGTAACACCTAAATGAAGCGCAGGGATTAGAAGCGTACGCGCAGCGTACCATAGGGTACGCCCAGCGTACGCGGCCAGATGCAAACCCTAATTTTAGGGGTTTGAGGGCTATATAAACCCCATTATAGCCTCCTTCCATGTTTTCCCATCAGTCTCCTCACCCTCAAGAAAACCCTAATTCGTTGTTATCCTCTCTTGTGTGTGAAGAAGCTTTTGTGAGTGTTTTGGTGAAAGGAAGTAGTGAAGAAGGAAGAGAAGAAGTTGGAGAAGAAGCTTGAGCTCAGAGATCTGAGCTAAGTACACTCTTGGTCATCAAAGGAAGGTATAAAGTTCTGAACTTTCTTCCTTTTCATTCTAGATCTAAGGTTATGGAAGTTTGGACCTTTTTAGGTCCAAAGGTTGAGTCTTGATTTTGTAAATCGGTTTTGGAGCTTGGGTTGCCATCTTTAAGGCTCAGAAACACTTTCCTAGCAATAAAGTTTCAATCTTTGAAGCTTACATGAAGTCATGCATGAGATCTAGTTAGCTCCATGGAAGTAGAATGTTATTTATGGAAGTTTGAGCCTTTATGAGACTTGTAAGCCATCAAGTAAGCAACTTTATGGCTTAAGACATGGAACAAGCTTAGGATCTGGATTTGTAGCTTCTGGATCGGATTATTAAGCACTTAATGGGTTTTTGGCTTAACAGGGTTGTACGCTAGGCATATAAGGAGGTACGCGCCGCATACAAGCCAGCAGCCAGTACGCTCAGCGTACCTTGGTGTACGCCCCGCGTACGCTGCCAGTTTGGGCTTCGAGTGTTTTGGGCCTCGGTGTGGGCTGAGTTTTAGACTTAGGATCTTTGGGCCTTAGTGGCCATTAGAATTCAGTTGCTTTGGACCAAGGATTAGTATTGGGCATAGGTAAGGCCTAATAAAAGGTTTTGGGCCCAATATAGAAAATTGGGCCATTAGTGGGCCTATAGTGGGGTCATTAATGGACTTAGAAGGAATTGAGGGTTTGGGCCATATTGTGACCCATGCCATAGTAGGGGTAAAAGGGTCATTTTACCCATAGGAGAATCCCCATTCTGATTTAGTGTTTCATTTCTCATGATAGCCGAGAAGCAGCCGGAGCAGCAGTCAGGGATTTCTCATTCAGGAGTTCAGCAGTCAGCATCACGAGGTGAGTTTCCTTCCAGTAGGAACGGGTCTACGGCCACAATTCCAGCATGTTTAGTTAGCATTAGTTCCGGACTTCGGTCCGATGTAGTAGTTCAGGATGCTTGGTGTCTTTGTGATTCAAGCATGTCTATGTGTTATGTGTTCCGGGCTTCGGTCCGATGTAGTATGCAGTATATGTGTTTATGTTAGTTGATATGTTATGCTATGCTATGTTTAGCCAGTTCCGGACTTCGGTCCGATGCAGTTAGTTCCGGACTTAGGTCCGATGCAGTCAGTTCCGGACTTCGGTCCGATGCAGCTTCCGGACTTCGGTCCGATGCAGAGGGCAAGACCCTGGTTAGTTTCGGACTTCGGTCTGATGTAGTGGGCAAGGCCCAATATGTGTTTATATGTTTGTATGGTATGTGGTAGTTTGGGGGAGGTCACTAAGCTTCGTGCTTACAGTTTTCAGTTTTGGTTTCAAGTACTTCCGCAAGTAAAGGGAAGAGCTCGGGATGATGGCATCGCACACACCATAGCTTTAGTTTTATTCCTCGGAGTTTTTCTTAGTTATGATGTGATACAGTTCCGATACAGTTTGTGATATGATATTTTACGATGGTTTGAAATATTTAATGTATGGGTTTTATATTATGAAATTCAGTATATGATTTTAGT